ATTTACTGTGCTCCTGGTATTCATTTATTTTTTGGCTGCAATGTGTCTGCCTCTGCTGGAGAAAGGCTGACAGTCGGTACTCCAGAGAAATCACAAGTTGCCATAACTACAAGTGCTGAGGTCTCTGTGCAGTCCAGAGTGTAGCCCCGGAGAGGTGGGCAGTAAGCCGACCATGAGTGAAGGCTGAGAGCTCTGGTAGACCCCGTCCAGCAGGAACCCAGCACCTGAAGCGCTCCTCAGACAGACTTGTTTCTCTTCACAGTTTGCTTGTGTACGCAGGAGATAAAACTGCATGCCTGATGGTTCATCATGTGTAGAAAGGGAATCCATCAATTATTCACTTAATGTCAGTCTAGGACAGATAATGAGGAAAATTGCACAAAGACTACTTAAGGTTATAAATGCTTTTCATTTTCCTCACTTTCAGATGCTCTTTTTTCTAACAGCAACATTACAAAAATCCGGTGGAATACAGGCTCATAATTAGGCAAAATTAAAAGATAACACACAAGACTGAGAAATTGAATAGAGGACAATTGCAGTACAAGGGCAATTTGGTTATCTTTTTTGTACATTCTTTCAGCGTGGTTATCCCACACGTTCTCTTGGAAGGCGTCTTGCAGTGGCATCATAGTGGCTCTCTTTCTGATAGACAGCCTAATTCATACAGTTGGTGTTGTTATAATCCCCTGGGAGTCTTCGTTTTCTCTCTGCCTTGTTTATTCCAGTGATGTCCTCTCCATCCATTGCTACAGAGGGACCCAGACCACTACAGCTTAATGTTTTGTTGTTGTTAGATCACTTCATACCTCTGAGGCATTTCACTGGTTCCCTGCTGTGTGTGTGTGGTAGGAGAAACACGTTAGCGTTTGTTATCCAGCTCCGTCGTGGTCCTTCGGGATCCCCAGTCCCCCCTGTGACTCAAACGCGTACAGATGTGTTTCCAACAAAAATTACTTTTAAAATTAATTTAAATTCATGTGTTTGTCTTGAGTTGTTTTTACAGCTGAGGTGAAGATTTGGGTTAAAGGTTTCTACATCCGCACGTCTTTGGAATGTTGTTATATACAGTATATATCTGAAGTTTATCAGTGCTTTGTTTGTGCATGCCTACATGTGTTTGAGATATGGAACTTTTGACTGCATGTACGTGTATTGATTATTAGTATAGGTATTTTTTGTGCACTTTGAAGTGAATCAGTCTGCTCTCACGTCTCTATATTCCATCTGTTCCATCATGTTCAGTCTGCAATCTGAATGGAAACAGGAACTCATGATCAGTCTTCAAACTGTGCAAAAACTTGGTGTGGAAATGATTGCATTGATTGTGCACAGCTCGAGAAGTATACATATCAATGCATACATACACTTCCACAAATGCATGCATTTATAGGAATACATTGACCTTTTGCAGAAGAAGCTTATAATCCATGCAAACACTGGAAGACACTTTAGTGTGAGATGCAGCTTTACATCACTCTTAACAGCACTGTGGTGAAGAAAATACTGAGCATGGGGGTTTAAAATTCAACTGACCGTTTTATTGCACATTAGTGAGTTGAGCTCATTTGTTCAAAAATTTAAAGCGAAGGCATTTAAACCGAAGACATTACTGTTGTGCTTATAGGCACAATCCACATAGAACACATGTTGGATATCTTGAACATGTTTTAGTCCATTATTGAAGCATATCTCTATTATATCAATTTTGGATTGATGATACACTAGTAGATGTAACTTAATGGAAGCACAGCTGAAAAATCTACTTTGATCCCATTTGTTACAATGCAAAAGTACATTTCAGACTGAACAGATATGCACTGGAGTCTCTGGGTATACATCTTTTTGTTGGGTGTAATGTGAGTTAGAATAATTAAGCTGGAGGGCTTGACGCTAGATAATGGACTGCGACAGTGAAAGGCCCCCGTAATGAGTGATGAGAACTCAGGGCATTATTGTTAAGAGGCCAGACATCACATTTACAGTTTGCGTTGGTGCGCGCACACTGACACAGACGTATAATCATGAATCCTTTAGATAAATGTTAAAATGAAGTCTCCTCTCTGTCTTTATCTTCCTCTCAGAGCACTCTGTACCACAAACCTTTTCTATCTACATAAAGTATATTTCTTTCTGACTCACTCCTTCACAAACACCCGACACAAGCAGTTAGTCCTAGACGGACACTTATACACTCCCCCGTTCGTTATATTGATCCATGCTTACACAAGCATTAGCACTCACTTAGAATGAGAGGCATGTCTTCACCCATACACAGGAGCACAGAGCATAAACACATCCATACAAATGTGCACACACAGTTTCTCATGTTGCTTAGTGACACATGCAACGCTAACACACAAACTTCTCGAGATGAACCACACGCGTCTGCTTTGGGCTGGCAGATTTTTCCAAATTGAATCGGAGCGTATAGCAGCTGATGTACTCATCCAGTGTGTTTGATTTAACGAGGTCCACTCTGTCTCGTCATAAATCCTATTAATATTCTGAACTTCCCATTGATTTTTATTTTTTTAAGCCATCCTAGTGCCTTATTTGATATCTTCTAGCCTTTGTTTCTGATTTAATGAACCCACATGCAGACATTCACTTTCTCTCTCTCTCTCTCTCTCTCACACACACACACACACACACACACACACAGACACATACAAAGACAACTCATGAAACTGCTTTTCC